GTCCGTGGACTGGGAAGGTGGGCAGCAGGTGCGAGAGCTGTGGCCCCGAGGGGCCCTTCCTCCCAGCTCCAGGGTCTGTGATCATCTGGCCAGGGCTTCAACCCCGTTTCCGGTGCCCGTGCCCTCCCACCTCACCCCCCAGCCCGGGAGTCCTGGAGTGTGGGTCCTGGAGTGCCTCTGCGGGTCAGGGAGGGGTTTCACGCTGCCCCGCGCTGCCAGGTGCAGGAGGGCAGGGTCAGTGCCCTGGGCCCAGAAGCCGCCCCCGTCCGGAATCCTGCCTGACCAGCGAGCACAGTGCCGGCCGCGGCGGGCTCCGTCCCAGGCTCTGCGAGGCGGGAGGGGCTGGCCCCCTCGGGCAGGCGCAGGACCCCAGTGCGGGGCGGAGGCCCCGGAAGAGCATTTGGCGGAGGGAACAGCCCGTGCGAGGCCCTGAGCGGCCGCGGGGGACAGTGGGGCGCCAAGCCCACGAGGACGCGAGTGCACGGGCGCGCGGGGGTGTCGGGGTGGCCGCGGGGGCTGCCCGGCGCCGGCTGTCCCGGGCCGGAGCGCCGATCTCGGACGGGGCTTCGGGGGCGCGGGGCACCTAAAGCCGCGGCCCGCGTGGGGCTGCTTTCGCCCTCGCGCGCCCCCGCGCCCGGGCGCCGGAAGCGAGGCCACCCCCACCCCGCGACGGGCGGGCGCCGCGGCGGCGCAGGGGCGCGGGGAGCCGCCGGCCGGGGCCCCGCGACGCCCGTCTGGGCCAGCGGCGGGCGGGCGGCCGGCGGCTCCCGGAGCACAGCGTCTGCCGGGGGAGAACGAAGGCCCGAGCGAAAGTGCGGGTCGTGTTGCCGCAGCGGAGGCCGCAGTCCGGGCCGGGGTCCGGCGCCGCAGGGGCCCGGGCCCGGACCCGCCCAGCGCCGCCGCCGGCCCCCCCGCGGCGGCACCTGCTCCCGCGCCCGCGCCCGCACCCGCGGCCGGCAGCCCGGAGGCGGGGGCGGGGGGCGGGCCTGCACGGAACTGCGCCTGCGCGGCCGCGCGCGCCGACCGCGCGCCTGCGCGGTCCCCCCGGAGTCCCGCGGGGGCGGGTCGGCGCCTGCGCGGTCTTCCCGGAACCGCGCGGAGGCGGGGCCGACGCGTGGGGCCTGCGCCGGCGCGGTAGGCCCGGCCGGCCTAGGGGCGGGGCGCGCGCGCGCTGTGCGCCTGCGCGCGCCGGCCCCGCCCCGCCCCGCCCCGCGCGCGCGGGGCCCTGGGAGGGGCGCAGCGTCCGGCGGCGTCGCGGGCGGGCGGCGGCGGGCGGCGGGCGGGGCGCGGGGGCAGACAAAGCCCGGCTAATGAATGGAGGCGCGTCCGCCCGCGCCGCGCGTCGTCCGCAGCCGGCGGGAGCCGCGCCGAGGTGAGCGCGCGGCGGGCGGGCGGGCGGCCGCGGCCCGGTCGTGCTGCGGCGCCGTCGGGCGGGCGGCGGGCGGGCGGCGGGGCCGGCGCCGGGGCGGCTCCCGCGGCGGCCGGGGCGGGGGCGGGGCCGGGGTCAGGGGCGGGTCGGCGGCCGAGGTCGCCGTCGGGGCCGGGCGCGGGGGGCGCGGCTGGCGGCGCGGGGGGGCCGGGCCGGGCCGGGCCGGGCGGGGCTCGGGGTCCCGCGGCCCGGCGGGGCCGCCCGGGCGGGAGCGGAGGCGCGGCGCACCCACGCGGAGGCCGCGCGGCCCGGTTCCGGCGCGGGCGGGCGGGTCAGGTGCGCGGGCCGCGCGCGGTGACAGGTGAGGCCCCTCCCGGGCGCTCCGCCGGCGTTTCCAGGACGCGGCCCGCGCGTGCCTGCCGGGGTCCCGCCTGCCGGGGTCCCGCCTGCCGGGGTCCCGCGTGCTGGGTCCGCGCCGGCGGGCGCGTGGACGGGCGCGTGGACGGGCGGCCGCCTCCAGACCCAGGTGCGCCCCGCCCGCCGCCGTGGCCCTTCGTGCGCCCGGCGGGACCCCGCCAGCCCTGGCCCAGACTCGCGGGCGGTCGGGCCCGGAGGGGACCCACCCGCGCCCAGGAGCGGCGCCCCAGTCTTGAGGGTAGAGGCCGGCGGCTCCCGGCCGTCCAGGGGGAGCCTGGAGGGGCCGTGGAGGTTTTGTCAAAAGGTGGATGAAGAGGCTGAGCGCCGAGTGGGCTCGCCGGGAAGAGCACCCCGCTTCCCGGCTCAGGGGTGCGCCCCCTTCCTCTCCTCTGCTGGGATCGCGGCGTCTCTGGCAGGTCTTCCCGCCCTGAGCTGCGCGGAGCTGCCTTTGTGGGGCGCTGGGACCTGCATCCTCCCGAGGCCCTCGCCGCTGTCCACCACTTTGCCGTTTGATGCCCCTGCCCCGGAGAGGTTTGGGGTGACTCAGGGTGCGTGAACGCCATTCTTGACACCCCGGAGAAGGCCCGCGTGGATGCCCAGTGGGGTCTGCGGGCCCGAGGGGCGTTCACCTTTCAAGGCAACCCATGTCCGCTTCAGACCCCGTGGGCCCGGGGCCTGCACTGGTCCCGCCGCCTCCCTTGGTAGGGGGTGTCCTCGCATGCCGGGGTGGGGCCGGCAGCACGCGCTTCCTCCAGGCTCAGCACAGGCTCAGCACCCTCAGCCGCCCGTGTCCTTCTGTCACGTCACCGCTGGAGTCTTGGGCTAGGTGCCTCCTCTGCTCCACTTTCGGGGAGCAGGACGCGGGGAGATGGGCAGCCTGGCCCCTCCCCAGGGCACTGAGTCTGCTATGGGTCCTCCTGGGTGGGGATGAGAATGAGCAAGGAGACTGCCCGTGGGCACTCGGGGGGCGCCAGGGAGGGGCTCCCCAAAGACCCGTTAGAGAGGCACTGAGCAGGTGGGGCCCATGGGGGCTGCCCCCCTCAAGTTGTGCCCTGGGTGACACCACCCCCCTCCTCAGCGTGGGCCTCTGGGAGCTGACCCTGCGGGCACAGGGTGGGCTTTGCTGTCCGTCAGCCCTGCAAGGCTGGTGTCCTCTCAGGGCTGCGGTGGAAGGACCCGGTGGGAGGGGTGTCGGCTCCTCTGCGCCCCCTTGCAGCGCACTCGTCCCCGTCCTCAGCATTGTCGTCCCTGGGCTCCTCGGAGCACGTTGCCCAGGTCATGGCGTCCATCTCCTCCTCTCCCGCCGTGTTCTTGGCTCTGCTGAGATGGGGCGATGGCCCGGGGTCACCTCGTGGCCATGCCCCAGCGCCCTGAGGCCGCCGCTCCTGGGAGTGGCTCAGCAAACCTGGGTCTTGCTGGACGGTGGCCCGCATGGCTCTGCGGGGAGGCCTGTGTCTCTGGCGCTCACGTGAGAGGAGGTCAGGCCGGCTTCCAGACGTGGGCCATGGGCCCCGTGCGCCTGACACCTGGAGCGATGCCCTGGCGGGCGCGCTCTACTCCCCAGCCCCGAGTGGCTGTCACGCTGCCCTTCCGCTTCGTCTGTCCCTGTGTCCCGAGTGGACAAAGGAGCCATCCTCCCTCTGCTTGGCCCGTCCGCCACGCGCCGTTTGTCCGCACGCCCGGCCCTCTGTGGAGGGGCCGCGTGGCCGCGGGTTGGCCGTTGTCCCCGCAGCCGAGGCTTGGTCCTCCCCCCCGGCACGAGGCCCGCAGTCCTCTGCTGCTGAGTGTGCCCCCCGAGCTTTGCCGGTCTCTGTCTGCCCGCCGAGTGTCAGGAGACTGGGTGGTTTCTAGCCTGACGGCCGCGGCGGCACCCACCAAACACCGTGTCCACGGGGCCCGCGGCCGCACGCCGAGCGTTCTTGCTGACAAACGGCCCAACTGCCCTCCGGGGCGGCCGCAGTCCCTGGCACCGCCGACAGCGCGAGCGACCAGAGCACGTGCCCAGAGGCGTCCAAGTCTCCCCCGTTTTGGGTGCACTTTTGGGCATGGGGCTCATGAGTGGGCACCGCCGCCCTCCCTGTGGCCGCCGCGGCTCCCGGCACCATGCGGTGGGGACGGGCTCAGCCGCGCTCCGACTCCTTGGCCCCAGCACCCCCCGCATCCGTGCATTCCCTGCCCGGGCCCGGCCTGGCTGGACACCTGTGGGGTCCGCGTGGGGCCCGGCCTCATCTTTTCTCGGGGTTCTCAGCTGCCTGAGGCTCTCGTGGCGTTTTTTCATGCTCTTTGCTGAGGATCCGCTTTGCCTGCATGGGTCCGGCTGGCGTCCACTCACTTCCTGGCGCAGCCGGCGGCTTCCGTCAGAGCAGGCCCTTCGCACACCGTGTCCCCCTCGCACGTGCGTCCTGTGCAGAAGACACACATGGGGCCTCCCTGGGGTACGGGGGGTCAGGCTCAGTGCTGTCAAGCTCTCTCCAGCCGCTGCGGCTTGAGCTCGATCCCGGCCAGGGAGCGATCCACAGTGCCCGGCAGGCCCCTCCTGACTCCCGCTGCCCCCTCAGCCGTGTGTCTCAGTGGACCCACCTGCTCTGCTCCCCGCTCTGTCTCTGGGGAGTCCTCTCGCCCCCGCCCCTCTGGCCTGCACCCTGGTTCCTCCCCTGGAACTTGCCACCCGGGGCTTCCTGTGGCGTGGAGGTGGCAGCGGTGGCGGCAACGTGGGTTTGGAAGGTGCCATCCCGTTCACTCCCTGACCTCGCTGTCCCCTCACAGGTCACACCTGGGACCGTGGTGCTGTCCCCCACACGGCCGCCCCGACCCGCGGCGAGCAGCAGGCCCCGCGTCACACGGCCGCGTCCGCGCTGGAGCCCGAAGGCGTAGGCTGTGCCCGGAGATGAGATGGGCGTGAGCCCCGTGCGCTGCTGCCCGGCAGGCTGTGCGCCTGGCCACACCCACAGACACCCCGAGAGATAGACGTTGTGGAGAGACCGAAGATGCCGCGCGTCTGGGGGCCCCAGTGAGCGCGCGGGCCGGCTGCTGCGGCCCGAGGTCGGACGTGACGCGGCCGCCGCCCTAGGGATGGTCAGTCATGGAGACTAGCCGGGAACCTCGCCCCGAGGGGGCCGGGGGCCGGGCTTCCGAGCCGGGAAGGGTCCGAGCGGAGGAGGACGGCGATGGCGCGGCGGGCGGGGGGCGGCCGGCCGAGGGGGGCGCCGGGCGCGCGGGCGGCCCCGACGCCGAGGACGACGGCGGCGCCCTGTTCTCGCAGTACAGCAGCACGCTGTACGACGTGGCCATGGAGGCCGTGACGCAGAGCCTGCTGGCCGGCCGGGGCGCCGGCTCCAGGAAGAAGTCGCCGGCCTGGAAGCACTTCTTCATCTCCCCGCGGGACAGCACCAAGGCCGTGTGCACCTACTGCATGAAGGAGTTCAGCCGCGGCAAGAACGAGAAGGACCTGAGCACCAGCTGCCTCATGCGCCACGTGCGGCGCGCGCACCCCACCGTGCTGGCCCCCGAGGGCGGCGGCCCGGCCCTGCCCTCCCTCTCCCCGCCCGCGCTGCTGCTCCCCGCGCCGCCGGCCGCCGACGCGGGCGCCCTGAGCCCGGTGCTCTGCCCCGGCAGGCCCGGCTCCCACGCGGCCGCCGGGGTCCCGTCCCCCGACCGGGCGGCGGAGGAGTCCGCGTCGGCGGTGTCTTCGGACGAGGTCACGCCCGAGGTGCCCGACTCCGAGCCGGCCCCGGTGGGGCAGCCCGGCCCGCCGCCCCTGCTGCCCTGCGAGGACGCGGCCGACAGCGGGCCGGAGCGGAGCCTCCCGCTGTCCCGGGGCGCCTCGGGGTCCCGCCGGCGCTCCGCCGTCTGGAAGCACTTCTACCTGTCGCCGCTGGACAGCTCCAAGGCCGTGTGCATCCACTGCATGAACGAGTTCAGCCGCGGCAAGAACGGGAAGGACCTGGGCACCAGCTGCCTCATCCGGCACATGTGGCGCGCGCACCGCTCCATCGTACTGCAGGAGAACGGGGGCGGCCCTGGCATCCCGCCCCTCTACTCCTCGCCCCCCACGCTGCTGCCCGCCCTGCCGCCGCCGGAAGGGGGGCCGGGCTCCGCCTCCTCATCCCCGGGGAAGCTGGCCCCGGGGTCCCCCTCCACGTCCTCCTCTCCGGACCGGCTGCCGGAGGACCTGCCCTCGCGGCTGAGTCCCGGGGAGGCGCTGGCGGAGGGTGGGTCCGCGCTGTCCTCCCCGGAGGACGTGGGCGAGGACGCCTCCCTGTGCTCCCCCGGGAAGCACCTGGGCGGCGGGCTGAGCGCGCGGGCTCTGGGCTCCGGTGCCGTGTTCCAGCAGAACAAGAAGGTGATGAAGAGACTGAAGTCGGAGGTGTGGCACCACTTCTCCCTGGCGCCCACGGACAGCCTCAAGGCCGTGTGCAGGCACTGCAGCTGTGTCATCAGCCGCGGCAAGAAGGGGGACGTGGGCACCAGCTGCCTGATGCGACACCTGTACCGGCGCCACCCCCAGGTGGTCGGGACCCAGAAGGGCCTCCTCGGCGCCAGCCTGGCCAACTCCCCATACGCCACTCTGGCATCCGCAGAGAGCAGCGCCGCCTCCAAGTCAGCGGGCCTGCCCGCCGTGGGCACCAGAAACCACCAGGCTGCATTCCCCGTCAGCAGCAAGAAGACCTCGAAGCTGTGGAACCACTTTTCCCTCTGCGCCGCAGACCCCACGAAGGTGGTGTGCCTGCACTGCGGCCGGACCATCAGCCGGGGCAAGAAGCCCACCAACTTGGGCACCAGCTGCCTCCTCAGGCACCTGCAGCGCTTCCACGGCAGCGCGCTCAAGCCTGATGGGGCCGAGTCCGGCCCCCGCGGGCCCCCCAGTGCAGACCCGCCGGGTGCCTCCTCCCTGGACGCCGCCAGCGGGAAGCTTTACGATTCTCATCCAGTTGCCAAAAAAATCACGAGTCTCATTGCCGAGATGATTGCACTTGACCTTCAGCCATACTCCCTGGTCAGCAACGTCGGCTTCGCCAGGCTGCTCGAATACTTGAAACCTCAGTACGCACTCCCCGCCCCCTCGTACTTCTCCAGGACGGCCATCCCGGGCATGTACGACGCCGTGAAGCAGATCATCCTGTCCCACCTGAGGGAGGCCGAGAGCGGCGTGGTGCACTTCACGTCGGGCATCTGGATGAGCACCCAGACCCGGGAGTACCTGACGCTCACTGCCCACTGGGTCAGCTTCGCGCCGGCGGCCCGGCCCCACGGCGAGCACCGGCACTGCTCCGCCCTCCTGGACGTGTCGCAGGTCGACTGTGACTCCGGCGGCGGCAGCATCCAGAAGCAGCTGGAGGGCTGGTGGGAGGCCTGGGTGACGTCCACCGGCCTGCAGGTCGGCATCACGGTGACCGACAACGCCAGCATCGGGAAGTCGCTGAGCGAGGGCGAGCGCGCCAGCGTGCAGTGCTTCAGCCACACCGTGAGCCTCATCGTGGGCGAGGCCATCAAGGGCCAGCGCATGGTGCAGACCCTGCTCAGCACCGCGCGCAAGATCTGCGAGCGCGTGCGCCGCTCACCCCGCGCCCGCGAGAAGCTGGCGCAGCTGCAGCGGGAGTACGCCTTGCCGCAGCACCACCTGCTGCAGGACGTGCCGTCCCGCTGGGGCACGTCCCTGCACATGCTCGAGCGGCTGCTGGAGCAGAAGCGCGCCGTCAACGAGCTCTCGCTTGAGTGCCACTTCCGGGAGCTCCTCAGCTGCGACCAGTGGGAGGTCATGCAGTCCGTGTGCCTCGCCCTGAGGCCCTTCGACGCTGCCAGCCGGGAGATGAGCGCCCCCGGCTCCACGCTCAGCCAGGTCATCCCCATGATCCACATCCTCAACAGGAAGGTGGAGATGCTTTTCGAGGAGACGATGGGCATCGACACCATGCTGAAGTCGCTGCGGGAGGCCGTGGTGAGCCGGCTGGCCGCCGCCCTGCGTGACCCCAGGTACGTCTTCGCCACGCTGCTGGACCCGCGCTACAAGGCCTCGCTCTTCTCTGAGGAGGAGGCGGAGCAGCACAAGCAGGATCTAATCAGGGAACTCGAACTGCTGAATTCTACCTCAGATGACGCATCTGTCGCCAACGGGCGCGACCCCGGCACCCCGCCGCAGGGCTCCGTCGGGGAGGCCAGCCTGTGGTCGCTCATGGCCAAGATGAAGAAGACGGGCCCTCGGGAGCAGGCCCGGGTGCCTGAGGACGTGGTGCTGGCCTACCTGGAGGAGGAGGTGCTGGAGCACAGCTGTGACCCCCTCACCTACTGGAACCTGAAGAAAGCGGCCTGGCCCGGCCTCTCCACGCTGGCCGTCAGGTTTCTGGGCTGCCCCCCCAGCATCGTCCCCTCGGAGAAGCTGTTCAGCACGCCCACCGAGAGCGGCAGCTTCGGGCAGTCCAGGCTCCTGACAGAACACTTTGAGAAACTCATCTTTCTGAAAGTGAACCTTCCCTTGATCTACTTCCAGTATTGAGGTGCAGACGGGCCGCCCGACTGGGGACGCTCTGCCCGCGCGGCCCGGCTCTCAGGTCCACGCGCCCCACCTCCCTCCCGCCCTCGCCGCGGCGTCTGCTTGTGCCTTATTCCTCGTCCGTCGGGCCAGGGAGCACCAGGGAGCACGGTGTGTTTTAGCCAGTCCTCTAGACGGAGCCCGTCTCGTCCGTTATGAAGTACGACGATGAGGTTTTGATTCCTAACTGTAGCTTTTTTAAAAGTTGGGGGTTAGTCTTTAGTTTTACTAGAACGGCAGAGAAGGTGGAGACACTTGCGTCCCGTAGGCTTTTTATTCAATGATGTGAAAACCACGAATCAGGTACTGTACTGTAGGTCAGGATTGCTCTCGCGGCGACGAAACGGCCGTTGCGGCTGTCGGATGAAATCTGTACATACGAGGTGGAGTTGAAGCCATCCCGGCCGGGCAGCGACACCCCCAGAAGCGGCGCCAGCGCCGCGGTGTGGGGGGGGGGAGGGCGCCCCGCCCCGGCTTCCCCGTCACAGCAAGGCGGTCCCGGAGAGGCCCCGCGGTGCCGCCCGCCCCCGCGTCCCAGCTCCGACGCTGGCTTCTGAAACGCGTGCACTGGCCCCCCGTTTGATGACATGATGCGTAAGTCCCTCCTAGGAGAGACGGCTGCGCGCCAGGAGCCGGGCGGTCACGGGGCGGTTGTGCGAACAGCCTTAGGTGCGTAGATTTTTCCTCGCGGTAGGGAAGGCTCAGCCGCGCCCGGCGTCTTAGACCCCGCGGACGTCGGGAAGAAGTCCGGGTGGGCAGGTTCTGTGAACGGGGACGTCGTCCGGGTTTGGCTTCCACACCTAGGAGAGGGTTCGTTTTTCAAACCGATTAAATATTCTGGGTGAAACGAGTCACTTGTTTCTTATGACCTTTTAGAGAAGTGGTTTTGTTGAAATACTGTATCTATTAATCTGAATTTGCATTGACTATGTTTTAGTGTATTTATAAATGGTGAACTTGGTTTCAGAAATTAAACTTTTTATTTGCAATTTTCTACTGCAGAGGAGCACTGGCTCTTTATTCTTAGGGCCCAACGTGTTGAAACCACATTCCCGGGGCACGAGGGGCTCCACCTGAGCCCCTGGGGTCACGGGTGCGGGGCTCCCCTGAAAGCCCGTCTTGTTTCAGTGAACACTTGTCATCTGTCAGCGAGAAGCTGCTTTTCCTTTAGGGTCCCGTGTCCCTTCCCTCCCGCTCCTGTGCGCGAGGCAGCAGCTGGTCTCAGACCAGCCCTCCCTCAGGAACTGCCAAGGCCAGGTGACACCCATTTTTAAGGAGAGCTCCTTGAAGGCATAGGGGGCATCTGAGGCTGGAGGTGGAGATGATCCGCGGGAGGCCAGCCCCCGGCACAGCTTCCTCTAGGACAGTTGTCGGCCTGGGGGGGTCACCGGGCCGGGGGCGGGGGGCGACCTGGGGAGGGCGGCAGTGACCCTGGAGCTGCTGCACCCGCCAGGACTGCGGGAGCCCCCCCACCCCCCACGAGAGGAGGGGACTCCGGAAGGCCGACCCCTGGGTAGCTCCCAGGCAGGCACTGTCCCATGGGGTGGGCTAGGCAGGCAGCCTGAGGGGGGCAGGTACGCCCCATGAGTACAGCAGACCTGCATGAGTCCAGCAGATCCCAGAGGGGGAGAGGATGGAGGACGCGGGCTGCAGCGGCAAGACAAGGGCCCCAGGTTTGGTTCAACGTGACTAAACATTCAGGAATCTCTGTGAGCTCCAAGGTGAACTCCATGGGGGCCTTCCCGGTGGCGCAGCGGTTGAGCGCTGGGCTGCGAAGCTGCCCGCAGCCTCTGCGGCTCCGGTTCCATCCCCGGCCACCGGAGGAGGGTCCCACACGGCACGCAGACCTCTCCTGCCGCCCGCTGCTCCCCTCAGCAGTGTCCTTCGGTCCTTCTGCCTGCTCTGCTCCCCGCTCTGGCTCTGGTGGATTCTCTCACCCTCCCGCGCCTCTGACTGTGCCCAGTGCTTGTATAAATAAATAATCTTAAAAAAAAAAAAAAGATGAACTCCAAGAGATCCACACAGAGCCACCATCAGACTTTGAAAGAGCAAATCTTGGAAGCAGCAAGAGACGCGTCATCACGTACAGGGGATGCTCAGCAAGCTCGTTAGTGGATTTCTCTTTAAAAACTTTGGGGGCCGGGAGAACGTGGACCAACCTACTCAAGATGCTAAAAGAAGACGGTTAGCCAGGAGCTGGCTACCTGAGAGAGCTGTCCGGGAGCGGGGCAGGAGTGAAGACTTCCCCAGGGGGAAGCGAGGAAGCGCGTTACCGTTGGGCCTGCCCTGCAGGGACCGGCCCACAGTCGGTCACGGGGCCAAACCAGATGCTGCTGGTGGGAGGAAGACCCCAGGGTGTGGTACGCACTGCAGTAGGAGGAGCATCTGCAAAGGACACTTGTAAAGAGACGTCACCCATAACGTACAAGGCGCTCTTAAAAGCCAGCAACGAGGAGCAAACCACCTGACTTAGAAAGGGACTTTGAGCCCTCAGCAGCCCCTTCGCACGGGAGGAGCAGGGCGGCAAGCGCGTGTCACCAGGGAGACGCCCAAGAAATCCAGAAGTTGCTGCTGTCGGCGCGCGGGCACCCCAAACTGGATGCCAGGTGCAGGCGGGGAAGGCTCGCGCTACTGCCAGAACACGATGGCACGGCCCTCAGCAATGTGGGTTGCTTGTGACGCCAGACACGTGTGTCTGGTGTGACCCACCAATCTCGGTCCTTGGTACTCGCCCAATAAACCTACTGTGGGTGTGCAGCAGCTTTATTTTTAATTGCCAGACTTGGGATGAAGTTCCTTTACCTCCAGCCTCTCAGGCAGAGGGGGTCGTTACTAAGCGGACAGCGTGTGGAGAAAAGGAACGTCAGAGCCACCCGTCAACACGCACAGGAGCAGCCCCGCGCGGATCAGGCGCCACATGCGAAAGCAGGGCTGGACGTGCTGAGGAAAGAACAGTGTGGGAAAAGCCTCCCGGCCACGATCCAGCTACAGACAGGTCTGACGCACGGGGACGCGCGAAGTTGAGAGAACGTCTATGTGGGAAAAACATGAGCAAAGTCAGGAAACAAATGACAAACAGGAACTTCACAACACGTGTGGGAGGTAAAGGGTGAAAACTGTTGATAACTCAAGAATTTTTATAAAGGGAAGGACATGGCCACGGCCTCGGGCCGCAGAAGGCGTTGCGTGTCGCGAGGGCCAGGGAGGCGGCAGCGGCCCCAGTCCACCGCGCCCCCACCCGACGGGCAAACTGAACAGCCGTGTCGTCACCGCGCGAGGACCGTGAGGGGGCCCCACGCCGCAGGGGAATTTGGCTGTACCTCGAAAAGCTAACGTGCCCGTCCGCTGGCCCAGCAGTCCCGCTCCGGGGATTCACCCGAGGAGACCTCGGACGCAGGAAAACGCGCACGGGATTGCTGTCTGGTCCTCCGCCGGAAGCTGCAAGTGCGACAACCTCAACGCGTGAGCCAGCAGGCGGCAGCCGGGCCGCGTACTGGAGTATGTGGTGCAGGTGACCGAGAAGCCCGGAGAGCTGTGGGGCGAGTTCCAGATGGGCCCCCCAGTGGTGTGCAGCGCGCAGGCTGCTGGCTCTGGGGCCTGGCCCGTCTTCACAGAAGCAGCTGCGAAGCTCAGGACAAAGCCACCACCGTGGCCACGGGGCTGGCAGGCGCGGCACGGGTGGCATCAGCGAGTCTCAGTGTGGGGTTCGGAGCCCTGCTGGCTGGGCCGGCCGGGGCGCCGAGTCCTGAGAAGGGAGCCCGCCACACTGAGGTGGGGCCTTACTACCTGCTCAGGCGCCGGCGTGCATGGGGACGCCGCCTGCCGGCCCGTCCTCTCCCTCTTCAGAGTAGCGGCATCCTGGCGCCTGACAGAGGGATCCGCTCGCAGCACCAGGCATGTTCAAAGTGCAGAGTAATCACTTAAAAGTAAAACCTAGGCGAGGCAGAAAAACCTGGAGACGCCACCCGGGACGGTAGGAGAACATTAAAGGGCTTTATTCATATTCTGGGTATCCCCCCCGCCCATGCTTATCAGCTCCCTCTGAAACCCAGTGGCCTGTGGCTGGCGTGTGTCCTGCGTCCGGCAGGGGCTTGTCCCAGCCCCCAGAGGACACTGTCTCCCCGGCTGTGAGCAGCACCTTTTCCTGCCATCACGTCGCCCCTGGCAGTGGGGAGCACCACAAGGGGTCCCCTCAGGAGGGGCTGAGGCGTCTCTCTAGAAGCACCAGCTTGGTCTGCAGGTGGACGTCGAAGGGGGGCACTTGCGTCAGGTTCAGGCTCACCCCGCTGGTGCCCGTGATGCTGGCCAGGACCCGATGCGAGTCTGCATAGAGGGCCAGGTGCGCGGGGGCCGCCTCCATGAGGAGGTGCGTGTAGTCCAGTAGGCGCGGCGCCCCAGGCTGCACATCCTCTCTCTTGTCATACCTGGGAGGGGACAGCAGGCTGTGCCCGAGCCCTGACCGCAGGGGGCAGCACCCCAGGGCCTGGCTCACGTACCTCCAGGCGCCGTTGACCTCCAGGAAGCGGGACACGCCGGTCTGCGCAGCAGCTGCGTCGATGTGCAGAACCACCCCTAGGAGACACGAGCTGTGGGCTGCGCCCGCCCTAGCTGAGCGCCCACCCCACCGCCTGCCCACCCACACCGAACTGGCGCCCACCTGTCCGCGGAGGCACCAGCTCGTGCAGCCGCTGCATGGCTGCACCGCCGGGGTAGTTGAAGTGGGACACGTACAGGGCGGCGGCCGAGTAGGTGGCGTTCAGGACAAGGTGCCCCAGCACCAGGAGGGACCCCGCTTTATACAGCCACGACTTCCTACGGCTGCTCAGCCTGGAAAGGCAGCACAGGCAAGGGGAGCCCAAGGGGATAAGGGCCGAGGAACCGCCGCCTCCACGGGCGCAACACCAGCTCATCACCAGGGAAACGAGGCAGCAGCCAGAGGCCACCTGCATACCGTCCACCGCCCCAGAGGCCTGGTAAAGACGTCTGTCCTGCCTCCGGGCAGCTGGAGTCACCCAAACGCCCCTGGAGGCAGCTCCATGGGCAGACTCGGCCCCCCAAGGAGCCCCGGGACAGCGGGTCGTGGTGTGGGCTGAGCCCGCTCTCCAGCCCCGCCCGCGGCCACGGTCCCTGGAGAGGTGGTCCCGGCCAGTCGTCTCCACCACCCGTTCACGGAAAGGGCTCCCTAGAAGCGAGGCAGCGCCAGCAGGAGGCGGGCACTTACAGACGGGCGCAGCCCCTGGCGGCCACGATGTTGAGTGCCGGGAAGGTGTAGATGACGAAGCGCAGCTCCTTGTGCGGCAGCAGCGAGTAGAGCGCCACAAAGCCCAGGGCGGGCAAGAGCAGCGTCCGCGCGCGCCGGTCCACCGCGCCCAGTGGCACGAAGAGCAGGCTGCAGCCCAGGCCCCTCGGCAGCGCCGAATAGAAGTACCAGAGCGGCGGTGAGGTCAGGGCGGGTCAAGGAGGCCACACCACAGGGAGTGGGGGCTGCCCACCAGCCCGTGGGTTACTGCACCCGCCCAGCCCCATCCACGGCCCCGGCTGGCCAGACATGGATACTCCCCAGTTGGAACTTTTGTTCAGGACCGTGTTGTACCAAAGCACCGTCCCTTCTGGCCACACGAGGTAACCCCAAAACCAGGAGTCCACAGCGACCGTCAGTCCTAGTGAAGCAGGAAGGCCTCAGGAAGGGACGTGGCCCCTGCCTAAGGGCGGCCGTGGGCGCGGGCAGCAGCCACCGCCCGCGCCCTCAGGCCGCCACCCCCACAGGTCTCTGCGGACCCCGCTGGGGCAGGAGGCCTGAGCAGTCAGGGCTGCTGTTTGGCGGGAGAAAACCCTTGAACTGCTCTCCACCCACAAGCCCAGCTGCTGCAGCGTCGGCCAGAGGCAGCGCCGGGCACTCACCCAGACAGAGGATGCCAGCAGGCAGGGCGCAGCGCAGGGCGCTGGACACAGACAGCCTGTGGGCCAGCAGCAGCAGCAGCAGCAGGAGGCCCAGAAAGGCGCTCAGCTCAGCCCTGAAGACCAGGATGGCGAAGGCTGAGAGCCGGATGAAGCGGGAGCAGCGGCGCTGCAGCCAGGCCGTGAGGGCCGGCAGGACTGCGGGACATGGTGCTCGTGGTCAGAAGGGCCTCGTGGAGCTCCGGGAGTCAGAACCCTGCCGGGGGCTGCCCTTCTGCCCGGTGTGCACCGCACCCCAGCACTGGCCGTCCAGCCGGCTCCCGACGGTCACTCTCCTGCTAAGCCCGCCCAGTGGAGCGCACACCGGCCGCCTGTGGAGAGGGCGGCTCCACCGCACTGGGCGCCTGGACGTACCCACGGACAGGGCCAGCACGTTGGGGAGGGTCCGTGTGCAGTAGAACATCAGGTGGAACTGGGTGGCCGTCACCCAGCAGAACATCGTGGCCACCGTGGCCCCGAACTGCCGTCTCACTTCTTTTTGTAGAGTCCAGAGTCCAGAAATCACACCAAGTCCTAAGACAGCTCTGACTGGACAGAGAGAGCGGTGCATGTGACCCGCAGCGGCGGGCAGAGGCGGCCTTGGCCATGGTTACTTGCAAGTTACTGACGGGGTGACCACAGTGCCCCCAGGGCGGTGAGTCTCCCAACCTGCGAGAGCTCACTCGAGTGGCTGGGGCCTGAGTTGGCCACAGACATGCGTTGCAGGGGCGCTCACCCGGCCCTTGGGCCCCTCCCTCAGAGCCCGCCTTACCAACCAGCTGGGAATAGAACTTGGACACGTCCAGCAGCGAGAGCACACACACCGCCGGGCTGGCCAGCGCTGCCATCAGCAGGGGCCCGAGGAATGTCCGGGGCACCACTCCGGGGAACTCCAGGTGGTCGTACTGTGAGGAGAGGGGGTCAGCACAGGCCCCAGGTGGGTGCCGTGGGGGCGGGGGCGGTGCCTCACCTTGTCCACCTGCAGCCGGTGGTAGAGCAGGTCGTGCGTGGCCTGCAGGTTGAAGCTCTCCTCCACCTTGGCGTACGGGCAGGTGAGAAGGTGGACAGTGGCGGTGGCCAGCAGCAGCCCCAGCAGCGGCCCCTGCCGGCCCACCCGCCTCTTCCCAGCCATCGTGCCCGTCGCCTGGCCCACGGGGGTGGGGGGCCTCCCGGAGCTGCCCTCGACTTCACGGGACACGTGGGGCGGCGGCTCTGAAACAGGGCGGGGCACGGAAAGCCGCTCGCGGACGCCCCTCGCGCCGGCCGGCCCTCCCCGCGGGCGCCCCCGCCTCCAGGAGCTTCGGACCCCAGCTCGGTCCAGCCCGCAGCCCGGCGCTGCCGCCCTCCCTCCGGAGGCCCGGGTCCCGGGGACTGGGAAGAGCAGCCGGCTGGGCCAGGGTGCCCGGTGGCGACGGGGAGCAGGGCCCGCGGGGTGCACCGGGGCCCCGAGGGGCGGCCGGGGGCGGGGCGGGCAGCGGGCGCTGAGGGGCCGCCGCACGCGTGGAGTCCGCCCTCCGGGGGAGGGGCCCGGGCGCGTCCCTCGCGGGCGCCCTCGGCGTCCACGCGCGGCGGCCAGCGCCGCCTCGGGGTCCCGGCCGCCCGCCCCGCGAGCCCGGGTCGCGCCCGCCCGCCCGCCCGCTGACCTCCCCACCGAGGGCCTTCGCCGCGCGGCCGCCGGGGCTGCCCTCGGCCGGAAGCGGAGACCCGAGGCGCCGCGCCTGCCCGAACCTAACATGGCCGCCACAGCCCAGCCGCGTCGCGGCCGGGCACCCGCCCGGCCCCGAGTAAAGATGGCCGCCCGGGCGGCGCGCGCGAGAGGTGGGCCGAGCTCGCGAGAAGCAGGAGCCGCGGGGCGGGGGCCGGGCGCGGGGGCCGGGCGCGAGGGCCGCGGCGGGCCCCGCCCCGGCCCCGCCCCCCGCGGACGCTGACCCGGGGCGCTCCCATTGGCCGCCTCTCGTGGCGAGCCGGGATTGGGCCGCGCCGGCCGGGGCGGGGCGGGCCGGGCCGGGCCGGCCAATGGCGGCGCGGGGCGGGCGGGGCGGCCGGGCCGGGCCGGCCAATGGGGGCGCGCGGGGCGGGCCGGCCGGCGCCGTCAAGCGGCCCCGGGAACGGCCGGCGCGGAGCGGGGGGCGCGGGCGCAGCTGGCCGGTGTCGCCCGGGACGCGTCCTCGCCGCCGCCCGCCATGCGCCCGCCGGCCGCGCTGGGGCTGCTGCTGCTGCTGCTGCTGGCGCCGCCGGGCCGGGCCGACCCGAGGCCGCCGCCCTGCCCGCGCTGCCGCGAGCTGGTGGACAAGTTCCAGCGGGTGGGCCGCGGGGCCGGGGGCGGGGCGGGGCGGGGGCCGCCCGGCGAGGGCGCTGACCGCCGGCTGCCCGCAGGGGATGGCGGACACCGCCAAGAAGAACTTCGGGGGCGGCAACACCGCCTGGGAGGAGCGGACGCTGGCCAAGTACGAGTCCAGGTGGGCGCCCCGGCCCCCCGCCCGCCCCCCGGCCCCCCGCACGCCCGCCAGCCCCCCGCCTCCGCCCGGCCCCCCGCCCGCCCCCGGCCCCCCGCCCGGCTCCCCGCACGCCCCCCGGCCCCGCCTCCGCCCGGCCCCCCGCCTGGCCCCCGGCCCCCCCGCCCGGCCCCCCGCCCGGCCCCCTGGCCCCCCCCCCCCGGCCCCCGCCCGCCCGCCCTGAGCGCCCTGCCTTGCAGCGAGGTGCGCCTGCTGGAGATCCTGGAGCGGCTGTGCGGGGCCGGCGACTTCCAGTGCAACCAGATGCTGGAGGAGCACGAGGAGCGGCTGGAGGCCTGGTGGCTGCGCCTGTGAGCCCCCCGCGCCCCCGCCCCGCCCCGCCCCGCGCCCCCGGGAGCCTGCTAACCCCCCTCGGCCCCCAGGAAGAAGGAGCACCCCGACTTGTTCGAGTGGCTCTGCGTGAAGACCCTGCGCGTCTGCTGTCCTCCAGGGACCTACGGCCCTCACTGCCTGGGTAGGTCCCTGCCCAGCGCCCAGGGCCCCACGCCCAGCGCCCAGGGCCCCACGCCAACCCCCCAGCAACCCATATCCAGCACCCTGGATCCAGCGCTGCTTCTCAAGCCACAGGGTCTTATAGCTGCAGGACACTCCTGGGGCCAGCACCCCGAGTGTGTGACCCAGCTGGGCCCCCCCATGCCCCCTGCCCACGCAACAGCGAGGCCAGGCCTCCAAGGCTGGAGTCCCTGGCGCCCCGCACCTCACTTGCCGGGCCTCATGCGGGCCGCGGACGCAGACCTGAGCAGGGTCTGTGTCCCCAGCATGCCAGGGTGGCTCCGAGCGGCCCTGCAGTGGGAACGGCCACTGCAGCGGTGACGGCAGCAGACAGGGCGACGGGTCCTGCCAGTGCCACATGGGGTACCGGGGGCCCCTGTGCACCGACTGTGTGGACGGCTACTTCCCCGCGCTGAGGAATGAGACCCACAGCATCTGCACAGGTACCGTGCCCGGTCTCTCCGGAGCCGCTACCCGAGGGGCAGAACCAGGGCTGGACGCAGAGCAGCATGGCCGTGGGCCTGGGCAGCTGTGTGTCCTGCCCTGACCAGCCTCAGAGGGGAAAACCAACTCCCTTCTCCGTGTCCTGAGTGGGCCAGCGGGCACGGACTGCACACGCCCAGGTCCCTGTGACCTGCACCAGGCCTCCCGCGCTACCCCCGTGCCCGCCAGCTGTCTGGGTACCGAGGCCCCTATGCCTGCTGCCTCTGAGGCCGTTCTGGAGGCCGAGCAGTGCGCCGGCTGGTCACGGTGGGTGCTGTAGGGAGAGGTGGGCGCTGACAAAGGCCCGGCACTTGAGACCATATGGTCTTGGCTACCGGGGTCCCTTGGGGCCGCCGAGGCAGGGCTTCCCCAGGTGTGGGGGCCAGCCTTCCTCTGCGGCACGGGGGTGTCTCTGGCGTGTTCTCTGTGGGGGCCGCCCAGGCACGGGCCGCATCCCCAGGCCTCCCAGCGCCCTCTGCCGGGTCCTCGCTGGCTTGGGGAACCGCTTTCTGTGTCAGTGACATGCACGCCCCAGGCCCAAGGCACCACCCCGTGGTGTCCACGCGTGGCTGGACACCTCCCCACCCCTGCCGGAGCCCCGCCAGGCGTGGCCACCCTGGGCAGCAGCTGGGAGCCCAGCCTCAGGGACCCGCCGTCCAGGGTGCCGTGGGCAGGGTTCCCTGGGGGCGGGCTGCAGCTCTCTCGGGCTCCGGCCTGTGCTTTGTCGTCACCTGCTGCAGGCAACCGAGCTGCCTCTGCTGGGACTTCACGTCGGGCCCCGCTGTGTGGGGCCTTGGCTGGAAGGGCAGCCTGACCCTCGCCCACTCTGCTCTGCAGCCTGCGACGAGTCCTGTAAGACGTGCACGGGGCCCACCAGCCAGGACTGCGAGCAGTGCGAAGTGGGCTGGGCGCGCCAGGACCCCGGGGGCGCCTGCCTGGGTGAGGCGAGGGGCCGGGCTTCCCACGCGTGCTCCCGCTGCTCCCTCCCCTGTCTGGCCTGCACCCGGCTGTCCTCGACAAGTCGCGTGAGGAAGCCTAGATGGCCCACCGCCCCCGCAGCAGCCCGGTTCCCCCACATCCCAGCAGCCGAGCCCCAAGCCCCAGAGACCCCTGGGCCTCTGTGCCCTGCCATCACGGCCAAGACGGCTCAGGGCTTCCCGCCAGCCGGTGACCGGAACGTCATGGGCCAGGCACAGGGAAGCTGAGACACAGGCCTCTTCCGCCGAAGCCCGGCTGCCGTGATGCTGGCCTGGCCCGGCTGTCTTCAGGGGCAGTGCCGCCCAGGGCTGCCACGCTGACCGCGCCTGCTCCCTGTGCTCCCTGCCTGCTGCCCCAGGCTGCCTTCTCCGGCCCAGGCGCACTCCGGCCTGTCACCCACCCTTGGCAGGGTCTCCCGCAGAGCCGTGTGCCGCCAGCTCTGCCCCGGTGCCGCTGGGGGGCGGGGGCCAGCTGCTCTTCCCCCACAAGACAGGCTTAGGTGCCCCCACAGCTGCCTGGCTCGCAGCCAGTGGGAGCTCAGCCTGCCCCCTTCATGAGGCGGAACTGGTCTCTCCCCGGCAGCCCCAGGCGTGGGCACGGCCCCGTGGCAGGGGTGCCCCCACCTGGCCGGTCCCTGGCCGGGCCCTGCTGCTACCCCAGGCATCCCGCACCTGCACCCCTGTTCGCGAGAGGCCTGGGGACAACCCCAACCCGCCTACGAGCAGGCCCTGCAGTCACCGCGCGGCTGCTGTGTTCCAGATGTGGACGAGTGCGCGGCCGAGACGCCCCCCTGCGGCGACGGGCAGTACTGCGAGAACACCAGCGGCTCCTACTCCTGTGAAGGTGCTGGGCGGGCGGCCCGTGGACCCTGAGCCCCCGGCCCGCCCTCGCCACGCCTGTCCTGCTTGCTTGAAACCCTGAGGGCCGCCCAAGCTCTGGGATTTTGCGTCACAACAGTCGGCAAAGCCAGGCCAGCCGGAGGCCACGAAAGGCCCCCCCTTGCCTGTGCCCGGCTCTGCGGGGACTCGGGCTCAGCGGGAGTGGGCGCCTCGGGGTCACTTGGTGGGTCATTAAGTGGAGCCAGCTTGCCCAGAGCGCGGCTGTCAGGAGCTGCGCCCGCTGAGTCTCTCAGTCTCTCATGCAGGCGGCATGAAGAAAAGTGTTTCAAGGTTTTGCGCCCCGGGGTGCTGGCGCCCCACAGCGCACGAGGCTGCCGTCCAGCATCCCCAGCTTCAGGCGGCTGCGCTCCGCCAACCCGAGAGCAAGCTGGACGCTGTGTGTGGTGTACAGCGGGGTGCCGGCCGGGGCCCCCATGTTCAGTCATTGGGCCGCAGCCCCAAGAGGCGCCCCTGTACCCTAGGAGCGGACCGGCTGTCCAGAGGCACCGCCCGCCCTGTGCCCTCAGTGTTGGGGTGGCCGGGTCCTGTAGCCGGGGTTGACGCCGCTTCCCCATTCCAGGGTGTGACGCGACCTGCGTGGGCTGCACCGGCAGGGGCCCCGGGCAGTGCAAGGAGTGCGTCCCCGGCTACGCCAAGGAGGACGGCCAGTGTGCAGGTCAGTGCACGCGGGACCGGCCGGCAGCTGTCCCAGCGCCCGGAGGCCTCGGAGTGGGGTGGGCGCCCCCCCCCCCGCCCCGCCCCGCCTCCGCCCCTGCTGTGAGCCTTTGACCCGGCCCCAGCTCCCCTGGTGGGCGCGGCCACCCCCTCGGCTCTCTGCGGCCGGAGCTCGCACCTGCCCCGGGAGGGTGCGCTCGGCGGCGCGGGCGCTCAGGGCCGCTCTCGCAGATGTGGACGAGTGCTCGCAGGCGGCGCCGTGCAGGCGGGAGGGCGAGAACTGCTACAACACGCCCGGGAGCTTCGTGTGCGTGTGTCCCGAGGGCTTTGCGGAGACGGAGGACGCCTGCGTGCCGGCTCAGACGGCCGGTGAGGCCGGGGCTGGGGGCGGCGGGCCGCGGGAGGCTGCCTGGGGTGGGGCTGGCGGCGGGCTGGGCGAGGACGGGCCTTGTCTTCCGGAGGCAACGCTGGGCCGAGGCCGCCCCTCGGGCAGTGCAGGGTCCCGGCCTGGGGGTGGCGTCCTGGGGTCCCAGCTGGTGCCGAGGCCTGTGGGCTCTGCCAGGTGCACCCCGTTTCCCTCCTCTGTGTGGCCCACAGGCCCCAGAGGAGGGTCCCCATGGGCTCCTCTCAACCCCATCATCCATCAGCACCCTGTTTCCAAGAGGGGCCCCTCCCCGGGTCCTGGGCGGGGCGGCCTTCCCAGGGGTCTTGAAGCATCTCTGGGAGGACGTGGCGTGCGAGCGGGACCCAGAGACGTGGCGTCCGCCAGAGTGACCACTCGACGTCCCAGTGCGAGTGCTGCGGCCAAGGGACCGTGGCCCGCCGGCCCCCTGGATGCCCCATGGCTCAGGGGACAGTCCCCGTGGCGCCCGCCCAGAGCCTCACGCGTGCTCAGCACCTGCGTCTCCCGGCAGCGGCAGCAGGAGACGGCCCGGACCAGCCGCCCTCCCGGGAAGACCTGTGACCCCTGCGAGTGCCCGAGCCCCCGAGCCCGGGCGTCTGGCCGGCGGGCGGAGCGGAGCCTGCTTGGAGACAGTCGACACCCGTCAGGCCCGCGAGGAGCTGCGTTTCTGGGTTGTTGAACAGATTCGTCTATTTTGATACTGTTGTTTGTAATAAAGCCGACGTGGCCGAGCCCGGCTTTTGTCTCGCCGGGAAGAGGAGGCACCGCCCGGCCAGCCACTCGGGGCTCAGCCTGTGGTCAGGAAGTGGTCAGGACCCTGGGAGGCAGGAGCCCTCACTCGGCAGGTGCCCGCCGCCACCATCCCTCCACCTGGCGTCCGGGTCGCCCCTGCTCTCCGGCCGAGGCGGTCAGTCCTGGGCTGGCTGGAGCCTGAGGGAGGATGTGGGCCCGCCACGCTGGGTGTGGGCATTGCTGCCCAGCTGTGGCCTGTGCCCAGGGGCGTCGGTGCCTGGCTCGGCAAGGCCCACACTGCGGTGGCTGTTCCTGTCCAGCCCTGGCCTTGGGTGGGCCCCAGTGGTAGCCTGTGTGTGGAGGAGGCGGGGGGAGGGGAGGGACAAGTTGGGGCCCCCCGGGAGCCTTGGGGGTGGACCCTGTGCACGGCAGCTCCGGAAACCCCTTGGATAAGGGGGTGGCGAGGAGGGCAAGCCGAGAGCGAGTGGGGTGCGGGGGCCTGGCAGGTGGGCTGGAGTGTGAGGCACAGGAGGGGCCGTGCCTTGGAGCAGTGGGGTGTCTAATCCTGGGGGGGGAGAGACATCTGTGCCCCAACAGGCGGGAGGGGCCCCCAGCAGGGCCTGCAGGGCAGCAGAACCTGACAGCCCCTTCCCAGCGGGGTCCCGGGGTGTCCTCCACTCAGGCGGTGGGGGGGGGGTGCGCGGACACCAGTGGTGCCGTTCCCAGGCTTCCTGCAGGGACCTGGGAGCGACGCCTGGCTGTGGGGGGAAAACCTGCCCGTGCCCTGCGCCTGGCGCCCCTGCACCCCCACTGCCGCACTTGTCTTGGGTTCCCCGGCGGCCCCTCCCTGCTTCGCGGCACTGCGGGGCCAGGCAGCTGTGGCAGAGAGAGGAAGGGGGCTTGGACCCGCGCTCCGGGCCCCCAGGCCAGCACGGCCCAGCTGACGGGCCTGCCCCAGCCCAGGTGCGTCTCCCTGTGGCCCGGGTGCGTCTCTCTGAGGTCTGGGGGGCAGGAGGGCGGCCTCAGCCCCCGCAGCACCTCACCCGGGGGAGGCTGGGGCGCCGGTCCTGGTGTGGGCGTCCCTGCAGTGCTCCCGCCCCGGGGCCCCACGGACCCCTGCCCCGAGGCAGAGCAGCGGCTGGCTGGGCGCTCTGCCTGCAGCGGGGCCCGTGCGGGGCCTGGGTGGAGGCTGGCGTGGCCAGAAGGTGGCGCTGTGGGTCCACCTGGGCCTGGCCAGGCGGCCGGCGAGTCCTGGGGCCAGCCCCAGCAGGAGAGAGTCCTGTTCTGGGGTCCCCGAGGAAGGGGGAGGCGGCGGGGCCACGCGGCCTGGGGTCCCCGCGGCAGGGACCGTGCGTCCTTCCGGAGGGCGGCCAGTGGGGGGCGCCCCAGGCCGACCTCGGGACAAGAGCCGTCTGCCCCGTCGGGGCGGGGTCCTCCCCCAGGAGCCGGGCGCACGCCTGGTTGTCCCCAGCGCCCGGGCCCCCAGCTGGGCGGGCCGTCCCCAAGGCTGTCGCAGGGTCCCAGGCCCCGGCCCACCCGCCCCTGCACCCGCCTGCCCAGGCCCTGCCGGCCCCAGCGCTGGACGGGAGCGCCCCGGCCTCAGGGACCATCATCTGCCCCGGCCTCTGGGGGCGCAGGTCCCCCAGGGCAGACTCCCCACGGTCCTGGGGCGGCCTCTCCCAGCAGGGGCGCCAGGCGTGGGGTGGGCCCTGCTGGCCGAGGCCGCCCCTCCTCTCGCCGCCCTGCTCTCCAGGCACCCGCCGGGGGCTGTGGCCTCTGGGGGCTCCTCTCGTGGCAAAGGTGGGGTCTCCCTACCCACGGCCAGCTCAGGGCAGGGCCGTCCCCAGGGCCAGGCTTCTGGCCACGCCCCGCCACTGCAGCCGGGGCGGCCTTTGGGCCCGGCCGCTCCACCCTGCTCAGCGCCCCATGGCCGCCCCGCCGCCCGGCTCCCGAGGGACGCCAGCCCCTGGCCGCCAAGACGCGCTGCCCGGCCTCCTCGCAGGCCTGGCCCCGGCCCCACCGGACGCTCCCCCAGCCCACCCTCCTGCCCGCTCCCCGCCGGCCCCAGCCCCAACAGCAGCTGGGGCCAGAGCGGCGGGGGTCGGGCCGGGGGTCCGGCCGGGGGTCAGGCCGGGGGTCAGGCCGGGGTCGGGCCGGGCCCTCAAGACACCCGCTGCAGCCTGGGCCTGGGAGGGGGCGTGAGGGGGGAGGGGCCTGGGTGCTGGGCGCCCCCCCACGGCACCTCGCATGTCCCAGGGCCCCCGCAGGTGGGCGCCCACCTCCCCGGGGCCGGCGGCACCCGCGGGTGCCCCCGCACCCTCCTCTGGCCCCTGCCAGGGTCTCTGCCCCGCGGGCCTGGGCCGCCCCAGGCGGGGGCGGACGAGGCGCGGGGATGGGCCTGGGGGCGCCTCTCACCCCAGAGGGGCTCACGCTGGACAACGCCGCGCCCCAGCCGAGGGACAGCCGCGGGCCGGCGGGGGCGCAGGAGCAGGCGGCGCCGGAAGCACAGGGGTGCGAGGTGCTTGCGGGGTGCCGGTCCCCCCCCATGCGGACGGTGGCCCGAATGCCCGGTGGGGGGCAGGGGCTCCCCAGGGAAACCAGACCGCGGACGGGAGGCGTCTCTCCAGGGTGGGCGTCAGCCCCACCCCTCGTCCCCGCGGCGCGGTGGGGCGCTGGGGCCCCGCGAAGGGGGCCAGGGGGCCGCTGCCCCCCATCCAGCTGTGCTGCCAGAGGCGAGGGCAGCCTGCGGGGCGGCTCGCACCTGGGCCAGCCAGACCCCCGGACTTGCCCTGAGTGGGGCGCTCCCAGGAGCTGCGGGCTGGGGGTGGAGGCCGGCACCCCTGCGAGCCCACAGCCCTGTCCGCCCGCCGGCCGCACCCCTCCTCTGCGCCCTCGCGCCCCCACACCCCTGCTCGGCTGGACCCGGCTGGCAGGTCAGCGGCGCTGGGGGGCAGGGGCCACCGGCTGGGGACCTCCGGTGAACCCCAGATGGCCTCAGCGGCTGCAGACAACAGAGGCCCTTGTCTGGGAGCCGGCTGGGAGCGGGGTACCAGCCCCGCGCGTCTCCAGCGCCGCCCTCGCTGCCCGCCGGCCCCTCGCCCTGCCCTGAGCTAGTAAAAGCTCCTCCGCAGCTGCTATAAATAGCCCTGATCCCCTCCTGGGGCCACCCACACCCCCCCCGGGGGCCCACTTGGGGCTGCACGCAGCCCAGCTGCCCCTCAGGGTCCCCCCACAGTGTGTCTGCCCCCATGGCCCTGCCGGCTCTGGCGGCCCCGAGGCCCCTGCCGAGCTGCCCTCTGAGGAGCGCACCGGCCCGGGCCGGCTGGGGCCTGACCCTGCGCCCTCCCAGAGCCGCCCCCCAGGCCACGCCTGCGTCGCGGGTCCTGCTGGCCGCGCTGACTCGCTCTCCGGGACCCCGAGACTGGCCCCCACCTGCTCCGCCCGGCTCCTGCCCCGGCCTGTCCCTGGGGGCTCGGGCGGGCGCCAGGCCCTGACCCCCACGCCAGCGCGGCTGGTGGTGCCGGCTGGACGGGCTTCGGGGCGACTGTTACTGAGCAGAGGAGAATCAGAACACGAGGCTGTTTACGGAAAAGCCGCGAAGCTGCAGGCCGGTGGCCTCCGGGGGACAGAGGCCCTTTGTCGGGAACACAGGAAGCGAGGATTTCCAGCCCACCGCGCCCATTCTCGGGCCTCGGCGGCTTCTGCTGGACACCAGCTGCCCGTCTGTCCATCCGCTCATCCGTGTGTCCCTCTGACCTCAGGCCTGTCGCCCGCCTGGGCCCGGCAGTGGGGACCCTGGGGCTGCCCCCCACAGGCGCCTCCCGGGCGCACGGGGCAAGCCCCAGTGCCCCCTGAGTCCAGAGCGTGGCAGGCGCAGGCCCCGAGAGCCCGGGGAGCGGGGGGCCGGCCAGCAGAGCGCTGGGGTCAGTGCAGCCGCGCCCGTGCCCTGGAGCCGGCACCGGTGGGCAGGCAGGGGAGGGGCGGCTGAAGAGCACTGCCCCCCGCCGGCGGGACAGGGGTTCTGGGGGTGCCACAAGGCTACCCACCCTCCGCTCCTGGCTGGCCCGGCCGAGAGCAGGACCTGCGGCGGCGTCTGTGGAGGGCAGTGCCCCAGGACCCGCCTGCGCTGCGAGGCACCGGGGAATGGCCGCTGGGCAGCGCCGAGCCCACACCTTGGAGTCGCCGTTCCGGGGTCTCCGCTTGAGCGGCTCCCACTGCCTGGGCTCCGGGCTCAGCGTCCCGTCTGTCCTTGGGGGTAGCTCATTACAGAGTGAACGACCCCCCAGGATGTCGAGCTGGCGCCACGGGGGTGTGGTAAGGGGCCAGGGCTGGGGAGAAGCTGGCGAGCCCTGGCAGGTGGAGGGGCAGCAGCCGCGCTGGGACCTCGAGGCTGGGCGGTGCGGAGGGGCAGGGGTGCCACGCCGGGGCTGGGCACATCTGCCGCAAGGGGCGCCGGAGTCCCAGGACCTGGGACGGCGTCAGAAAGGGGCCCCAGCCCTGGCCCTGTGGACGGCAGGACGAGGTGGGGAGCCCAGAGCAGTGGCCGCGCTGGTCTGGGCCCGTCTTGGCTCTGGCGGGGGCAGAACCGCGTCCCAGGCCCAGACGCACGCCATGGGGTGCTGCGGGGTGCCGTGGGGAGCCATGGGGTGCCGTTTCCTGCAAAGCCCGCGCGCAGGCTCATGTGTCAGACTCGCTGCGCAGTGCAAGGCCCGGGGCGCGTCCGCGGTGATTTTAACATTTGAACTTTCTTCACCAGAATGTTAGATAAACGCCGAACAAACTCGCCCGGCGAGCGGAGCGTGGGAACCCGGAGCTCCAGTTTCGCTCCTCGGCCGCAGGTGCCTGCTCCTGAGCGGCGGGCGCTGGGACCCCTCCCAGCAGGGGCGGGCGCCGGCCTGGAGCCTGTGACCGCTGCCACATCCCGGCAGGTGGGGCTGGCCAGCAGCGGGGCCTGGGCGCTGTGGCCAAGTCAGCTGCCCGTCTCTGCGGGCGGTGCAATTAAAATGCATGTGATTTTTATTTTATCTTGTAAAGATTTATTTAATTATGCACACAAGAACTGGGGTGCAGGC